AGCCAGTTCGTAACAGGTTACCTGATAGCCAAGAAATTGTTTTTACAAAAATAAAACAGCTTGTTGTAAACGTGGTTATTGGTAATATAGATAAGGACATTGATTTTCTCTGTGAGATTAAAAACAAAGCCTGGCATCGTCTACTGATCTTTAACAATATGAGGGAAAATACAGCTTTGGAAAAATATCAAAGCTGGACGAAGGAACCTCGAGCCTGGAGCCATCTCTGAGCAGGGCTAATCACAAAGCAGCAAGTCTCTGTGTGAGCGTCATGTTTGAAATCGTTTTCTGCAATTTGGCTATTAACCAAAAGGCTAATTGATTCTTTTCTTCTGCCCCATTGTAGTTAACACACTAATTCTTCCCAGTAAAGATCCATTTCATTATGCAAATGTAAAAAATAAAATCACAAGGCTCGTGTCTGAGTGGGGTTGCTTTCTGCCGAGAACTGGTGCACCTGTTCCAGCCCTCAGCCCCACCTCCACCTCCACACGCTGCCAAACTGGCAGCTTAGTGATCTGGGTTAGCTGGTATGGGGCCCTTGAATTTTGACTCACATTTTCTTTGCGACTTATTCTTGTTTTGCCTTATAATTTCCCCCCTTCCAGCTCTCAGCATGCCAGTAGCAGCTGCGTCATGGCACTCCCCCTGCTGCCAAGAGGGCAGGCAGCCTCCTTGGAGACTAGCGTTGCTCTAAGCCAACTGTTAAGAGATGGAAGCTGGAGCCATCCATCCAGCACAGCTGAAATTGAGATCGTATAGGAGGCGTTTGCAACTAAATCAAACTTTCAGAACTTTGATTTCGACAGAAGAAATACTGTGGGACAGCGTTCCCACGTGCCTTCCTGTCTGCCTCAGCCTTCTCGGCTCGGACTCTTTCCCTGTCCGTGGCTTTTCCCATGGCTTATCCAGACTGCTGGTAGACTTGTTCCCATGGGGTAAATTTACCCTAAATTACAGTGACTTTTCCATCTCTTTTCCGTCTGTCTGCAGAATGTTTCCTCCATCCTTCCTAACAGTAAAAGACATTAGAATCTTTTCTTTTCTTCTAAGTGAAGCCAAGGTGCTATTTAGTGATTATTCTCCTTTCTGCTATTGTCTCACAAACTGTCACGGCTCGGTTCATCTGGTGTCTTTGCGGAGCACATCTGAAATGTATAGGTTCATAGAACAGACTATTAAGAGACCACGGGCTTGATTCTCCATTTCCCCAACGACAGTGTGTATTGAGGCATCCTCCTTAAACATCCTGACTTATTGTTCTACCTTTCACAACGCATCCCCTGCAGGGCCAATTACAAGACGTCAGTGAGTGCCACCTTTCTAGCGGCTCGGTGGAGCCTGGTCCAAGTGTGTCCAGTACATGAGAGTTACTGTCTTTGCCATCACTGCCATTATCCATCGTTTTGTCTCTTAGCACTCATTGTATAGATGGGAAGGCTGAGGCCCACATGGCTGCTTTGTCAGGACAACTTGAGCAAGATGTCACATATACCAAGTTCTTTAAAGTACCAGATGCAGTTTGGTATACTCTTGTTCTCTAGGAAATTGCATTTTCCAGATAAGAATGATTTTTAAAGGAATTAAAAGAGGATTGGTAAAAGCACAAACGGGAATAAATGCTGGTGCTGAAGAGTTAAACCTGAGTTCTGTGTTTAGAAAGGAGACCATTAAGGGTGGCACACCATCTCCTTAATGGAGAGGTGAGACGTCAAGAATGCTCTTGAGAAGGGACACTTTAATTATACACAAAACAATAGTGTTCTGTGCTCAGACGTGGTAACAAAGGCCTTTAATCCCAGCACTTCAGCGGCAGAGGCAGGTCATCTCTTGAGTTTGAGGTCAGCCTGGTCTATGTAGAGAGAAACAGAAGGGAAGGAAGGAAGGAGGTTGGAATATAAAATGAGCCAATCTAGGAACGATTGGCTACTGAGATTGAGAAACAAGGAAGAAGTAAGACAGAAAAGGAAAGTGCCTGCTAAAGAATGGAGAAGTTAGATAGCCCAAGACCATTGGCTTATTGTCCTGGGCTTTCTGCCCTAATAGTCTTTTCTAGAACTTGTGCTCATGACTACTCTACCATCTTTATTTCAAGTAACCTGAGCGCTGGCACATGTGTAATCTTGAATGTTTTATGGTGCACACAAGTGTTCTTCCATTTCAGTTTTGCCACACAAGTGCACATAGTGAAGCTCCTTACTTGTCTGGAATGTCTGTCATTCTTCACTGCTCTCTATGTATTTGGCTGACCCTAGGATACTTAGCATTGAGGAGACCAGTTAGAACTGAGTCAGGACCTGTGCCCCACACACATGTATCTTTGTAATAAGCTTTCTCGTAACGGGATAGTATGTTGAGTTTCATTGCGGACCTAAGAAGGTTCTTTGGTATTGTGTACCATTTTATAAAATTGTTATATGGATTAAATAAGCTTATGTTTATGGGTAAGCAGAACAGTACTTTTCTGAAATTATTATATGATATTATTATATCATATATAATTCTCATTAAATTACAAGACCATTATTAATAGGCATAGTTTGGAAGCTTTGTTGACTCCAAGTCATTCCCTAGGCTGGTTTTTCTTAAGGGTCTTTGTCTAGTCTGTTGTGGACATCTTAGGAAGAGAACACTTCCTTTTCTGTTGACCTGCCATGAATTGTTTTCCTTAACAGCCTTTTTCTTCTCATTATAAGCTATTTCTCCAAACTTATAATGAAAACAAACATAAAAAGAAGCTTCTCATGTTTTTTCCAAAAAACATACACCTTCCCAAAAGCCAGCTCATCTCTGCCTATTCGCAGTAAAGCACCTAGGAAAGATGCTGTTTTCCCTGCTTTGTGCAGCGTGTCCTGGGCTGCAGACTGAGATCATTATCTTCCTACAGAAAGCTCTACTTGATATCTCTCAGGTGTCTCCAGCCTCCAGCACCAACTTCCAGTGTAGCTGCCCACACCTGCCCATAGCGCCCTTCTCTGTCCCAGTAACTGGTTGACTCCATCCTTCTCGTTGCCAGGCCAAGAACTTGGGATTTATTCTTGACTACACTCTTGTCCCTACCCCACGTCCATTTCATCAGCAAATCCTGTTGAATTTATACACAAACTCTATCGGGTATTCAATCATTGCATCTCTCCTCTACTACTATAACTTTAGTCAACGTGACAACCTCTTTGTTCCCAGCTATCTTCTTGCTTCCTTTACTGGCTGCCCTTCCCCTCCCCAATGTCCACTGTCCAATAACAACCAGAAGACTTGTAAGGAATCAATTAGTATACACCCACTGCACCAATGCATTCCTCAAAATGTCTCATCTAATATGTGACAATATAGATGGATAATATATATAATATTGATTGAAAGAAGTCAAAAGCAGACGTGTCCATCCTAAGTTGTGACGTTCATTGAAAATCCGAACACAGAGCAGACCATTCTGTACCATGAGCAGTCAGACTGGTGTCTGAGGGAGGAGTAGATTCTGACTACTGATGACTGTGCTGGCTACTCATGTGCATTCAGTTTGTGAGAATTTAGCAGTTCTACAATGACAATGTGTGTGTGTCCTTCCCTGTGTATGTTGTATACTTCAATAAAGGGTCTGATCGAAATGCTGTTTCTCTTCTGTAAAGTTGTTCTCCTTGGACAGGGACTCTGTCAGCATTTGTCACCATTAAAATCGAAGCTCTGCTTTCGTTGGGGCAGTAGTAAGCTTTCTTGCGCTTGAGGTTCAGATGAAGGCATTTGGGGCAGAGCAGTAAGCATGAGACAGACCCTGCTTCTGATGGTTAGGATGGGTCACAAAGCGTATGACAAGACGGTAAGGGCCAGAGGCAAGAGGAGAAGTACAAAATAGAGAGGAGAGGGTCGTAAGATTAAGGAAGAGGCGAGGAAAGGCCTCTTTTGGAAGATGACAGATGGGCCAAGACCCAGAGGGAAGACAGGCAAGCTCAATGCAGATCTGAGAGGACAGTCTCTTGGACAGAGGAACAGAAGCAGTGAGCTCAGTAGAAACAGCCTGGGAGAGAGCCAGGCTATAGTACTACTGGAGGTGAGTTGGCCAGGGCAGGCCAGCGAGTGATAACGGGCCAGGGCCTGTGGGGTTTGCTAGGTCTATACCTAGTGAGAATTATTCTGCATGAGGTTGTAGGGTAAGGAAGAGATCTTTGTTCTCTGAGATTATTTGTATTACGTTTTAGCTGCTTGTAGTAGCAGGTCATTCAGTTTCATTGCTATATACAGACACTATTTCCTGTCCACTCAGCTATTAATGGGTATTTATAGTTCTGGGGTTTGGCTGTATGATGGATGTCTGAATATCCTAATTATTGCATGCCTTTTCATAAACTAGTGTGTACAAGATAGGTCAGTTTTAAAGAAATCTAACAAGGTACTCAATACTTATTTGGAAGTTTGTGAGATAACACTTGGTTCCAACCATACTCATGGTGCCCACTAAAGGTAAGCCTCAAGTGTGTGTCACAACAGAGCAGGACACTGTGCCGGGCATGGGCTGCAGAGACATAGACCACTTGGCTTGAGGACATTAGCATCTGCTTAAAGGTAGAGTGCACACAGTAAGCCACTAGAAAGAACTCAGACTGTAAGTAACACCTAAGAGTACCTCTCAGTTTTCCTCATGGATGTTCCAAAGTGGACAGCTCTGACGAATGTCCTCCAGGGCAGACAAGCATGGAGCCAAGCCTCCTTCTGGGGGCAGAGATGGGCCTGGAGACCCTCGGGGTGGGAAATCACATGAAGAAGTTCTTATTTAAGGGAGTTATGGGTGGCCATTCTGAGTAAGAACAGACTGTAGAACTTTTAAATCTTGTAGAGATTTGGATCGATTTCTCTCTCAAATGGGTAAATGCTTGTGTTCAAATCTGGCAGTATTTATGTATTACACATTGCCCAGGCTTTTTGATGTCCTGATACCACATTTACCATTACCAAACCTCACAGTTCATATGTTCTAAATGTTTTACATGTATATGTATTTTTAGACTGGCAAAGCAGACACATCCAGTGTGACTGTAGCAGGCCCTGAGACAGAAGATCAGGCAGGTTGGACTCTGGAGAACACGTCCCAAACAGCCGAGCTCCTGAGCGACGTGCCCTTCACCTTGGCCCCACATGTGCTGGCGGTGCAGGGCACCATCGGCGACCTTCCTGACCACTTGCTCTCCTATGATGTCAGCGACAACTTGTCCCGATTCTGGTATGATTTCACTCTTGAGAATTCAGTACTCTGTGACTCCTAGTCTTCGTGTCCACACACACCCTAACAGCTTTAACGAAAACTAGTTTGCCCATTTTTTTGAACCTGTTCGACGTTCCTTGTCATTTCAACCTTAATGCCTAGAGGCAAGCAGAGATCATAAAATAAGTAAAATAACACCATATTCATAGTTTTATTCTTCAGAATGAAGCAAATTTATATAAAAATTGTAACCAACAATTTAATAAAGGGAACTCACTTTGGAAAAAAGTAAGAAGTTAGATCACCCTTCTGGTAGAGGGAAAGTGACGTTGTTGAGATTATGGGAGGTACAGAGTGTTTTTGCTCTCTCTGAAGACCATATAGGAAGAGAAAGGAGGCTTACCCCTGGTTACCGAGACTCCGCAATCTGAGCTGAGAGCGAGTGCTTCCAGGGTTCAGCAGAGGTTGTCCTGTTACTCCCTTAACGTCTCCAACCGTGTTTGGGAATGAGGTCAAAAGACAGCTTCCAGTTAACGTAAATTTTTCAGTGTCAATTTAGACAAACCCATATGGAAACCTGAAACTTCTCGTAAACATCAGCGACTCTTTACTGATTCAGGAACGCCGTGAAGGGGAGGACACTGTGGTGTTCTTAGACCCCTGTGGCCCTCTCCACCCTCCTAAGGGATGCTGCCGCCTTCCCTCCTGGTTCCCCTCCCATCCCCTCTGGGTATTCTTGGACCAGTTTTCAAAAAGCTTTCCCCACTTCTGCCTCAGTTGGTTTGGCTTTCTTACCACATATGCTCCCAGTTTATGAGATCTGCATTTCCTCTCTGCCTCCTGATGCAAACATCTCATGATGATCCATACCATTGCTGATAAAACTTGTTTAGAGATTTGTTGGCCTTGGTACAGATGACAGTGTTTAACTGCTGAACACACTCAGTTTAACTACTTTCCAATTAGAGTGTAGGCAGACACCCAAATATGACTTGTACTTCTTGAATATCCATTATTTATTTTAAATAAAACTAGGCAGGACTGCCATTGGTCAATGAACTACAACAAAAATTTGGTAACTAGTAATAGGAGAGTTTCTATGCCATGAAAAAGGTTGTCATTTCTTTTGATTAGTTATAATTTATTAATTCTTTGCCAAAGTGTTAAGTATGTTTTTTCTTATAAAGAGAATATTAGGAAAACTCAACACTGTGCAGAAAAGTACAAGAATTATTTTCATTTTAATGTTTTATGCATGTTCATTTAAGAAATGTGGTGTGGTCTTGATAAAAAAAAAGTACTGTGTTATTTAAAGTTAAAGGAACATTTGTACTGATAAAAATGTACTTTATTCCCACTTAAAATTACCATGTGAGGTTAATGATTAAATTAGGTCTTTATATAGTTTTCATAAGCCATTTACATAGGAAATATGCCTTATTATTGACACAAATGTGAACCTTTTGTAGCACTTTTTGTAAAGGTACATCTTTTTCAACTATCCATGTTAATGTTTTTTCAAAACTGAATGTAAAGAGGTAGTTCTTTTGTTGAAAATATGTGAAAATTTATGTAATTATATATTTCATTTCTATTTATGTTCTCTTTGTTACAAATGTGCTTATAAGTACTATTTGTCTAAAATTGTTGTATTTTAAAAATGTGAATTAAAATAAATGTTTGATCGTTTTCAGACCCACAAAATGGCATTCATTGCATTTTTAATGTCTAAATGGAAGCTGTATATCCTATAGAAGGCAAAGGTTAAATATATTGTTTGTGTAGAGAATACGGCATCATCTCTTATGTGTAAGTTGTAGGAACACTGAAAATGGTAAGCAAGCCCTGGTAGTAAATTGAACTGAAAGGATTTGGAAGAAGTGGATAACTATCTATACAAATCTCCATCATCAGAAAATTTATTAAAGACCAGTGTTAATAATCGTATTTTGAAAAGTACATTATGAATTGGCAGTTTGTTATTCTGTATATAAATCATATAACTATTTTAAAATTGGAACAACATTATAAACCAACCAGCCAACTCTTATTAGAAAACTGAGACCTAAAACTTTAGATGACTTAAAGCACCTAGTTACTATTAAAGACACCAGTGAGCATGACGTACAGGAGAGAGAAACGACCATGGGCTTTAGGCAACTGAGAAAGGCCGGGAGCAGGAGAGGTGGTCTTCTCCAGGAAAGTATACATGATTGCTTGTCCAGTGCCAGACAGTCAGCCCTAAAAGCAGTGTTATATGAACTAAATAGGTCATATTTAGGGATGCATGTATGTGTGTATATACACATACGTATATATGTATATGTAAATGTGCATGTGTATATATGTATACATATATGGCATATGTGTACGCATGTACGCATACATGCGTGCAATAGCAATTAGGTTTTTTTAAGGCCATGAATTCGATGGAGAGTTGGGAGAGCTATATGCAAGACCTTGAAGTGCTGAAAGGAAAGGGAAAGATGTTAATTAATTTATAATGACAAAAACTTTTAAATATATAAATGTATTAAAACAAAGCTGAAACATACAGGAAAGAGTTGAGACCCTGGAGGCATCCAGAGAGTCAACAATGACTCTTTATTTAAGCTGAAGGACTTAGGCTGTTCCCTCACTCTGGTATCCTCTTCTCCCTTGCTTATTCACGGTATTTTCCATACCTTGCAGAGTTAATGTTGAATAGTAAGAGATATCTGATAAATACCCAATAACCTAATGATTGATGAACTTTGATCCTGACCAAGGGACTGTTCGCATTATTACACACACACACACACACACACACACACACACACACGGTGCTCTACCACAAAGTGAAACAGCATATCTGTGAACTACTTATGACTATATTAGGATGCTCTACCCACATGCACTTTAGACTCCACTCCCCTCAGTAGTGTTAGGGTCCTCTTCTGCCTCCAGGACAGTTCCATAGTAAACACTTGTCAGAGAGCATGCCTTCTCCTTGTGCTGGAAATCCCTACAGCTGCAGAACATGCGACTTCCATCGAGTCTCCATTTTAAACCTCATATATTTAGGAAATCACATGTGTTTTTCCAGCTCTCTCTAATGGCATTTGCACTCTTTCCTTTAAGCCAAATGTTATTTAGTTAATTAAATTATTAGGTCAACTTTTCAAATTATGCAGTTAAATTGTTAACAAAATAAATTCTTAGTAACATTTCTAGGAACCTTACAGTAGTTTTTTTTTTTTTAAGTAAACACCTATGACACCAACTTTTTTACCTTCCCTCAAATAGAATAACTGAAAACAGTATAAAAGAAAAGGCTGTGTTCTCCAAGAGCATCATGTCTTATAATTCTGATGGACAGAGGTATATGAGGGAAGGGTCCCCTTGGCGCTGTAGAATAGTAGCACTTCAGTCTCACTGCCCCTCGCCCCCTGAGGACAGCTCACCACCAAGAGAATGCTGCTGTGGGTTGCCTGGCACAAAATGTTACTTTCAGAGATCCATGTGCCACCTACTCACTTACGTCCCAAAAACAGCCGCGTGCAGCGTATATGTATTGGGTAGGAAGCTGAAGGGTGTCACATCTTTTCGAGCCACTATGAACTTTGGGTTCTTGGATGTTATCTTTTGAACATTTGTGACACATTACTGAGGGCATGACCCAACTATTCCTGAGAAATCTAAGCCTCCAAAAATAGGTCTGACTACATTTGGCTTTAACGATGGAATATTCTTATGTTTCAAGAAAGTTCCTCATGCCATATGGCTTGGCAGATAGCTGTGTGTGAGCAGGAAGAAAAAGATGTATTGATTGATACATAGGAACTCTATTACGTCAGCACAGCAGAATGGTAATCTTTTCATGTGAAGAACCTTTTTCTTTAAAGCAACTTTCCATACATAGAAAAGTTACAAAGGGAAGTAGAGAGTTCCTCAAATGTCCTGCCTTGTTGACATCTGCCACGATTAAGGAGCCAACAGTGCTACAGTATTAAACACACACAGTTTGCATTTTGTAGTTGCCCTCCAGTATCTCTCTCCTGTCACAATTTCTAGTGTGGCTTATTATCTGCTCATCCTCTCTTGATATTTTCAGCAGTCTCTCTAGGATTTTTTTTTCTAAATTGATAGTTTTGAGAAATATTGGTCTGACCTACTAGACTATCTTCTGTGGTGTTTGAATAAGAATGACCCTCGTGGGCTTAAATGCTTAGGGAGTAACACTATTTGAAAGGGTTAGGAGGTGTAGCCTTGCTGGAAAAAGTGTATTGCCAGGGGTGACTTTGAGCTCTCAAAAGCTCAAGCAGTCTCAGTAACGGTCTGTCTTCCTTCCTGTTGCCTGCAGATCCAGATAGCGAACTCTCAGCTGGTTCTCCAGCATGATGTCTGTTTGCATGCTGACCTGATTCCAGCTATGATGTTAATGGACTGAACCTCTGAAACTGTAATCCAGCCCCAATTAAATGCTTTAAAAAAAAATAGAAGTTGGTAAGGTCATGGTGCCTTTTCAAAGCAACAGAAAACACTTGACTAAGTTGACTTAGTCTGTTTCCATATAGTATGTAGTGGCAGATGCCCCTCTTCAATGCCAGCGCTCAGGAGGCAGAAGCAGGAAGATCTCTGCATAGAGAGACCCTGTCTCAAAACACAAAGCAAAATAAAAATGATAAGAGTGATATCACCACCTTTCAATGAGAGCATGTCATATCGAGAGTAGATGTACTAACTCAAGCTTGCAGTGTTAACTCTGACCACCTAGTCAACATGGTGTTTTCAGGTTTCTCTCTGGTGCTCAGTTCCTCCAGCTTCATTTTCTCCAGACTCTGTATAGACTTTACTCTTCGGAACCAAATCACAAAGCACAGCACTTACCAAAGACCAGAGAATTAAACACCCATCTTCTTGGTGGGGGGCAGAATACATAATTATTTGGCCTTCTTCCGCATTGGAGATTTATCTTTTCACCCCAATTACTTTTCTTACATTAGCTTGAATTAATGAATATTCTCTCTTCTGTCCAAGAATAAATTAGTGGTGGTGAAGGGAATATGTACATTTTTGCAGGAGTTAACAAATTTTGAAACATCTTGCATGAGTCCCAGCTGATGTTGGATGTCTTGCACTATTTTATAGTCCAGAATTCTTTTTCCTGTAAGTATATGTATCCTTAGCTTGCCCTGACTTTAACTGTGTAGACAGTCATGAGTCACGTAAGGGCATTTTGGTCAATGACAGGCTGCACATATGGTGATTATGATGGAGATGAAAGATTCCTACTGCATAACATCCTTGCTGAGCCTCTTCTATACTGAGATATGTACAGATAATGCAGCGACAGTTGTATTGTGCAGCGTCCAGTGGAGTAACATGCGGTTCGGGTTTGTAGCCTACTTGTGCAGCAGACTCGACCATCTAGTTTTCTCTAAGTGTGTTCTGTGATGGCCACATGATGAGGTCACGCAGCGGCTCCTGACTCAGACAGAACACATCCCATGATGACACAGAAGACCTCACAGAAGTGCTGCATCGAAAATGGACCCCCGTATTCCACCTCTTGCCTAAGACGGTCCTAGCATAAATGGTAGGTAGGGAGGTATCCATCCTAAAGCAAGTGATGTGGACATGAAATGACAGGGTGATCGTTTTCCTGTTGAAGGAACCAAGAAATCTCATGACACCCAGGCTCTTCTCTCTGGTGCATGCTCTTTATTTTTAGTACTAATAAAAGTAGAAGTGTGGCTCTTTAATTGCTAAACGATCTCATCTTCAGCCTGTAGAGAGTGACTTTAAGGAGCAAGGAAAGGAAGCTGTGTCTCCGCTTAGGGGAGAGATAGCAAAGAGACTCTGCTTCTAATGAATGAAAACTTGTGCTAAAAACGGCACCAATCTCATCCAATTTTTGTTATTTCCCCCTCGAAGGAAACCTGAATATAGATAGTCCTTTTTCAAGAATTTGCCCACCCCCAATTTTCACCCATACAAAAGAAACAAATTTCTCACAGTCAAAGCTTAAAACAAAGGATATTTGTACCCAGAACGCCCAGCCACATTAGCTCGGAACTAGCCACAGGCTTGGCACTCACCTCCCATGTAGAAAGGGATCGCTCAGAGGCCAAAGAGCCTGGCCTCAGCTTAGCACTGCTGCCAGGGAAGAACGGTCCAGAGTGGCCACGGGATGGACAATAACCCTAAAGGACTACGTGGCTGAGGAGCCCTGCTGGTGTGTATTTCCTTGTCGCTATGTGCATTTCCTTTCTGTCTTGCTTTTGAAAAGATGCCCACTTTATTTTGCTTTAAAATTAATGTATTTCCACATAACAGCTAAGAGCATTTAGGAAGCTAGCGAACAAGTAACTTTGTTCAAGACGACAGCCAGACACGGCTGAATTCTTCACCTAGAGGGTGCACTACACACTGGGACAGGCCGTCTCAGGACAAAAGAGAAGCACGTGGCTGCTGACAGGCACGTAGCAGTTGGTCTGAAATAAAGCCTGAATATTCATCCTTCATACTCTCCCCTCGCTGCTGTTCTGGACTTTGCAGAGACTTTCTGTTTATCTATATACATCTTTGAACCTGGAACAGACTGCGGTCTTCCATCTCACACCACACCAGCTGTAGCTGTCAATTAACACAGCTTAACACGAGAACACTACGCTACCCACCCCCTGCCTCTGCTCCTACAGAGCATGCGTGGA